TTGAAATTGGAGATAATCGGTAAAAATTTAGATATAGCTCCCATGTATATTGTTCATCCGATTTGTTATTTTTGTCCTCCGCAGCCGTAATATGCTCTTTGCAACAACAATATTTGGGGGAATATATCAAATACAGCTCAGAAATGCATTTGCTAAATTTTATCGGAGTCGGTTCAGATTTGGATATAGCTCCCATATATAACTTCGTCCGATTTACTTTTTATTGTGCACCAAACGTCTAGTATTTGTCTAAATGGGATGGAATTCAGCACTTACGACCGAATTGTGTCTAGAAGCTAGTATGTCAAATTTGGTGAAGATCGGCTCAGATATAGCTATAACTTCCATGTATATTGTTCATCCGATTTGTTATATTTGTTACCCACAACCGTAATATGCACTCCGTAACAACGATATTCAGGGAAATATATCAAATACAGCTCAGAAATATCTTTGTCAAATTTTATCGAGATTGGTTCAGATTTGGATATAGCTCCCATTTATATTTTTATCCGGTTTTAAATTATTTGTGCACCAAATGGCCAACACAAGTCCGAATTTAAAAGATACAAATGCTTCGGCATATTTAGTCTTTTGAACTTTAAATTATAATTATAATCATAGCTTGTATGATTGAATTCTCCCATAAAAACTTTTACTTGTTATGTGGAGCTCTACTAAATTAGCAAAGTGGTGTAGGGTATCATAAAGTCGGCCCCGCCCGACTTTAAGGCTTTCTTTACTGGTTTTTCGATATCATTAAGGAAAAATCGGTTATCATAGTACAAATTTTACATTCTTGCAGCTTTGGAACAGACCAAATATACAGTTTTTACTACGATAATGTGGCGTTTCCACTACACTTGATTCGCTCTCTATTCGTTGTTTGACCCTTAACTATGAAAAAACTACTTAATTCTTCACACAAAATTTTCTGACCGAACACTCACATTTGTACATTGTTCAAATCAAATCACTCTCAGAACAACGAAAAAATATGTCCCATCCCTAGCAAAAGAGAGCATTTATCGAAAAAATAAATTATGACATTTAAAAATTAAAACTAGAAAAATCTAATGAAATTTTAAATTTTTTTTGGGTAGACTGAAAATTATGAATGAAAACTACAATGTTGAATGGCCTATGCACATTCAAACGAAAGTACATTTTGTTTCCTCTCCCATTCAAGGTACGCATTTTGTCCACAAGTTGAAAACTGGAAACAAAAGAGGCAATATTTTCAAAATGTTTGTATCGGCAGAAAAAATGTTTGACAAGTGTCTCTCCAGCAGGTTTTGAAAATAGAAAAATACAAAAATATGTTCAAAATGTCAACATTTACACAAAAAGTTGAAAACGTGAATGAAAATTATAATATTAATGATATGATAAATATTTGGGAGAAAAACAATCATTTCTTCTATTCATATTAGTGAGAATTTAATGTATTTTAGTATAAATTCCCATTAAAAATAAACAAACAAAATTTTTGAAAAAAGGAATTATTTTACTATGAATTACGAATCGTGTCGTATGAACGGGTTAATCCGTGTACCTAATTCTGAGAGCGTTGTTCGGTTTCCAATGGAAACATGCTATAACTGAATTTTTCCTATATGACAGCGTTGTTGTAACTGGTTTTCCCTTTATGATATCGGAGAAATTTGCAAAACTAGTAGATTCTTGCAGGTTCTGGAACAGACCAATTGTTTTGAAAAATAAAAACGAAATTGCTGTGTTTCAGAACTGCAACAATGTTAACGTTTCTACTATGATATGCTATGTTCCAGAACCGCAAGAATGTTCCCTTTATGATATCGAAAAAAATGGCAAAACTAGTAGATTCTTGCAACCATTTTTTTCTTTATGATATCGGACAGAAATTGCAAAATTTGTAGATTCTTGAACAGAGCAAATATTTTCAAAATCAATTATGGAAGAAAAGTACATTGCTGGACGCGCATTTAAGATATTTATCATTCTTGCCATGAGATTGAAATATTGAGCGTTTCATTAATTTTTCGTACTTAAAAAAGAAAATAATTGGAAGAACTTGTTGCATATTATAATTTTTAATAATTCTGACATGAAGCGAGCATGGCCTTAAGGTGTGGGCGCATAAGCAGCTTAAAGTCTATGCTTGTTCATGATTCCAAGATGTTATGTACCCACACCTTTAGTACTGTATTTCTGTAGTTTTTTCTAAGTTTGCCCGACCTCTGCCATTTTTGTGAATGTATTTGTTGGTTTGAAAAATAAAAATAAAATCAATGATTGGAAGAAACTTAAATTACGGGATGCGCATTAATAATATTAACCAGATTTGCCATGGAATTGAAAGATTGAACATATATTTATATATATTTTTGAGAGAACATCCAGGCATTTCATTCATTTTTCGCTCTATTTAACTCATTTTAGAAATGAACAGAAAAATATCAAATAAATGAAAACAACTTGTTGCCTATAATTTTGAATAATTCTGACAAGCGGGCATAGCTTCAGCGCTGCATTTCTGTAGCTTAACGAAGTTGTTCTAACTCCTTGTTGTACGATGGTGTTAACTTAATCCAGATTGTACCCAGCTAGCATTTGGAAGATTGTTTTTGAAAACATCACTTTGATTAACACACTTGTATGATCGAAAAGCGAATCGAAAATGACACTATTAAATGAGTAAAAAGAGATCAATATAATATACAACAACAAAATGTAGGGAAACCGCAAATCAATCATTGAGATGTGCAAAATGTGACTAATTTTTCCGTTATTTATTACCGTATTGCGATCATCTAGAGATTGAAAAATGATTAGTCTTAAAAAGATCATGCAGTTGTTTGAAAAGTGATTATACCCGGCATTCACTTGAATATTGTTTTTTAAAAAATCACTTCGCAGAGTCTTCTTCGATTCTTTTTGGTGATCAAAAAATGATTAACTCACTTGTATGATCGAAAAGCGACTCGAAAATGACTCTCTCAAATGAGTAAAAAGAGATCAATTTAATATACAACAACAAAATGTAGGGGAACCGCAAATCAATCATTGATATGTGCAAAATGTTACTAATTTTTCCGTTATTTATTACCGTATTGCGACCATCTAGAGATTGAAAAATGATTAGTCTTAAAAAGATCATGCAGTTGTTTGAAAAGTGATTATACCCAGCATTCACTTGAATATTGTTTTTGAAAAAATCACTTCGCAGAGTCTTCTTCGAGTCCATTTAGTGTTCAAAAAATGATTAACACACATGTACGATCAGAAAGCGACTCGAAATTGACTCCCCCTAATGAGTAAAAAAAGTTCATTTAATTTTATACAATAACAAAATGTATGGGAATCAAAATGTGAATGTTTCTTCCATTATTTATTATCATATTGCGATCACGTACAGAATATGCAGAAAAGATCATGCAGCTGTTTGAAAAATGATCATAATTATGTATTTTTTGATCATATTTTGCACAGCCAAGTGCTTAAATGCTGCTTGTTTTGCTATGCGCAACGGCTCATTTTTTTTGCGTTTCTGGAGTGGCTATAAAAAGTTGACTTATTGTTCATTTATTAAAAGAGCGTCGAGGCGTAAATAGTGAAAGTGTAAAATAAGTCAAAAATATATATTTTAAAAATTGTACGTTTATCAGTTTGTTTGTTTACTTATTATTTTTTATAATAATAATGTCAGCCAGCCAAATTAAAAAAAATAGAAAAGGCAAAAATAAAAAGGATGGCAAAAAAGAGGTTAAAAATTTAATTTTGCAAAAAAGAAGTAAAGCTGAAGATGTGAATAATGAAGAGAATGTCCAGGAACGTGAAAGAATTAGAAGAGAACGTCGAGCCAAATCAAAATTTTACTGAAGAAAGTGCTGAAAATGAGGGGTTTTACGTAAGTATAGAAAATAGGGCCTCTAATTGATTTATTTACTACTTTAAAAACTATTAATACTCATATAATTTTTTGATAACCTATTTGCAGAAAGAGTTTATTGTAAAAACCGGCGGTGAAGGAGCCCCACAATTCTTTCGGGCTACCATTCGAAAGGTTTTTCCGACAATTTAGCCTGCCTATACAACTGGAAGGGGACCAGTCTAAAGTCGAGTGCATAAAAGTACTATTTAGTGACAGTAATCAAAAGTAAGTTTGTCTTTTTTACACGTATATAAAGAATTAGTAAAATGGGCAGACTTGTACATATTTTATTTCAGATATTTGCCAGCTCAAATAAACAATCAACGACAGGGATATGGACACAATCCTACAGAAACATTTTGTTCACGCTAGAGACCGGGTTAAAAAAGAAAACGGCCCGATTGCAGTTTTAATTTTTTGATTTTTCATTTTTTACGATATTTTTTACAATGGCATTTATTGAAATTAGAATACAAATTATAATTATAAAAACTGAATTATTTTTATTTTAAATAATTTTTTATATAAACATATATGAACAAATTCTTTTTTCACGGTACATCCGCATACTTAGAAATCAATAACGTGATTCGTAGAATTGTAAACACTCATAAAGACTTGTAGAACGATCAGAAAATGGTCGTAAAAGACTCTTAACTAATCTAGAGGAAGACTCATATGTGATTTATTTAGAAGACTCGCGGGAGGTCACGTTTTTCTCCCGACAAATGAGTCTTTTATGATCAGAAAATGCGCTCTTATTCCAGCTTTTTAATCGCGCAAGCGGATCAAAAAAGACTCGCATGTGATTAAAAATTTCAAAAAATAATTTTCTCTGTTTCCTATTTTAAAACCTCATTTTTTGCTGGTCTGTTCCAGAACTGCAGGAATGTAACAGTTTTTAGTTTGATGACTGATTTTCCCCTTATAATATCGAAAAAATTGCAAAACTAGGGGAATTTTATTTTGTAAATGTTGTACCATAAATCGTATAAATCCAGCAATCAGCGCATTAACGCCGTATTTAATATATTGAAATGACTTTGGAGAAAATACCGTCGTCCAGTTATACCTAACATTCGCCGCCCCGTCGGTTACATTATATCGGCTTTATTTTCTGCTCCATTGTCGCAAATTTGCAGCTATTAATTAGTGAAAAAATAGTTGTAAACATTTATAAGCAATTTAATAATTATAATTTTGTGCATATTTGTTCACTTAAGAGCCCCTGCTTAATCTGGAAAGTTGAAAATCTGTTTGTAGCTGGGATAGAAAAGAAAATAATCGAAAAATATGTTTTTAATACAGCGCAAAGCAACAACGCCTTGAATGAACAAGAGTTGTTGAGTAGATATAAATGAAGGAGCCCCCACTGAAACCCAACCCTAAAGCAAAAACAAAACACACAGCACAAAGTATTCTTGAATTTTCTGTGGATATTGCTTTAATATAAGGAATATTCTTCAATTTGGTGTTGGAGCATTAGTAAAGATAGGATATCGAGAAAATAATAGCTGGGAGACAGATCTAAAAGAGGCCTCGGGTTGAATTAAAACAAATACAAACGCAAAAATCATCAAAAATGGATGCCGATAAGAACAGTGGTGGTGGCGGTGGAGGCCAAGAGACAAAAGTGATTTATCACATTGACGATGAGACTACTCCGTATTTAGTAAAGATTCCAATACCGTCCTCTCAGGTGACTCTGAGGGATTTCAAGATGGTGCTAAATAAACAGAATAACAACTACAAATACTTTTTTAAATCCATGGATGCCGACTTTGGTGTAGTGAAAGAAGAAATCGCAGACGATTCCACTATACTGCCGTGTTTCAATGGTCGTGTAGTGTCATGGTTGGTGTCTGCAGATGGCACAAATCAATCGGACAATTGTTCCGACATGCCCAACAGTGAATGCGGTGATTTGAGACAGACTACTCGGCCTGCCCAACCCCCACCACCACCGCAGAAAATGAGTGTCGGAGCTCCAATTGGTGTTGGTAATATGGGAACACCCGGGATAATTGCAAACCCTATGATGCAGCCTCCTCCACCGCTAACATATCAATCAGCATCGGTGTTGTCAAGTGATTTAGACTCCACTAGTTTATTTGGGACGGAGTCCGAAGTAACGTTTGACCGAGATCTAACAGACTACAGTAGCGTACAGCGCCTGCAGGTGCGCAAGAAGCCTCAGCGTCGTAAAAAACGGGCACCTAGTATATCAAGAACTTCTAGTTACTCATCAATAACAGATTCAACGATGTCATTGAATATTATTACAGTTAATATCAACATGGAAGCGGTAAATTTCCTTGGCATATCAATAGTGGGTCAGTCAAATCGTGGCGGTGATGGGGGCATCTATGTGGGCAGTATTATGAAGGGTGGCGCTGTTGCTTTAGACGGTCGTATAGAACCGGGTGATATGATTTTGCAAGTGAATGATGTGAATTTCGAAAATATGACTAATGACGAAGCGGTGAGAGTCCTGCGAGAAGTTGTTCAAAAGCCTGGTCCCATTAAGCTAGTTGTGGCCAAATGTTGGGATCCGAATCCCAAAGGATACTTTACCATTCCTCGCACAGAACCAGTTCGACCTATTGATCCAGGAGCGTGGGTCGCACACACACAAGCACTCACTTCACAGGATAGTATTATTCATCCAGACATACCCGAGCCCATTAAGGAACGACTTGATCAAAGCAATTTGGAGGAAATTGTCAAAGCAATGATTAAACCAGACAGTGGCTTGGAAATTCGTGACCGTATGTGGCTTAAAATCACTATACCAAATGCATTCATCGGGGCCGATGCCGTTAACTGGGTGCTGGAGAATGTTGAAGATGTCCAGGATAGGCGAGAAGCGCGTCGTATCGTTTCAGCTATGCTGAGAAATAATTATATTAAACATACCGTTAACAAGCTGACATTTTCTGAACAATGCTACTATGTTGTCAACGACGATCGGAATCCACTGCAGTGCCGGTCGAATTTAAGCCATGCCGACACAGAAAGTATCACCAGTGATATAGGCCCCCTGCCAAATCCTCCAATTTACATGCCATACTCAGCCACATACAACCCCAGCCATGGCTACCAGCCCATTCAGTATGGGCTCACTGAGCGTCATGGCCTTTCATCAGGATCCAGCAGTTCGGATGTTCTCACAAGCAAAGACATTTCTGCATCTCAAAGCGACATAACATCAGTAATACACCAAACAAACCAAATGACCATCGGACACCACGGTTCGAACAAATCATCCGGCTCATCCAATCGGGGTGGTGGCAATCTAAACAACGAACAGGATTCTTCGGTCTTTAATTATGTATTGTAGGACGAGGAGGACTTCCTCTCAGCCAGACGGCGCAAGAGAGGGCGGAACATAAGGCAGGAACTGCAATGAAATTATGTTTATTATTCGTGTATAACCTTTAATAATTGTCTTTTATATTTTGCCTTTAAATTTTTCGAAACGTGTCAACAAAGAATAATGAAAGCTGAAAGGATTAAAACCAGTATACCGATACAAAATCTTTATAATTCTAGTAATTATTATTATTTATAGAATAGTAAGTACATTCTTGATATATTCAAATACACATCGTATGAAAAACAAAAGAAACAAATAGTTTATTATTAATGAACATTATAAATTACACGATTAGATTTCAACTTAAAATATGTCTAACGCCCACAATTATTGTAATATGTATTTCATAAAACAAAAGTTACGATTTCAAAATAGAAACCACTTTCCAAAAATGAGACCCAACATACCGTGTCATAAAAACTGACCGACCAAGGACAGCCAGATGATACAGAAGAACACTTAAATATGACGCCAGGATCAACCACTTACATTTTGTAGAACAAACATTCTTGCAAAAAAAGAAAAAAAAACAGCATAATGGAAATTATCATTTAAAAAATGTAATTGCATATAACCAAGAATTTTTTATCTCTGATTATAATTACATACATAATTATTAAATATAATAATTAAAAAATAAATAAGCAAATATAACTTTATATTAATAAAAATATAAAAAATGAATTTAGTAACCATGATTTATAATAAAACAAAACATATATATATATAAACATATTTAATAACATTTATTTTAATCCTGAATATTGATCCTTTAAAGTAGACGATCGAAGTCTCAATTGTGTTTTCGAAACAGGTTGTAAGGTGGGCGAAGACTTTAGTTATGAAGGACCCATAAACCCACAGATTAAATTCTCTTCTGTAATTTATGTATACAAGCGAAATGTTGATCGGTTTACTGTTGATATAATCATACATTTATATTGTTGATATAACCAAACATCTATATTGTCTTCTGACATCTTTAAAGTTAGACTTTCTTCAAAAAATTTCGAAGATGAGATTCGTTTGCACGGTGTGCAAAAAATCTTTATATTTTCGATCACGCTCGGAATTCTATCTTGACATTTCTGGACAGCACTGTTCTGTTTGATTTCAGACTCGTATTTAGGTATATGAATAAAGGAATAAAATTCGTCATCTTACTCTATCAACAATGTCTTCTCAATGTTATTCTTCGTTGATAGACATTTATGCCTTTATTTCAGCACACTTTTTAATTAATATATGTATATCGATATTATACTGAGTTCCCAAAATGTTTTGCAGAACATTTTTATCCGAGGAATAACACATTATTTAAGTATTCCAAAGTAAAAAAGAATAAACGTTGGTCAATGTTTGTAAATCGATTTCCAAAAATTGTAAATATTAGCAAAATAATAGCATTTAAGTATCTCACAAAAAAATTTGGGTTTCCGGTTTCCTTCACACATTGTAAAATTTATTTATACACTCCACCATTCTGTGGAGTATATATTAATATTGTCATTCCATGTGTAATTCCTCGTAATACTCATGTTAGACCCCACAAGTCGATTTAGCGCTGTCCGCCTGTCTGAGCGTCTGTCTGTTGTAATCACGCTATCTTTCCATAGAAGTCAGGCAGGTTAATTTCGTAAATGCCATTTCGGTCTACACTTTCGTATAGTCCTCATAAAACGGTACCTCCAAATATTCGGAATTTTAATTATTCTAGAGACATTACAGCCTATGACAAGAAATTGCGTATACAGGTCCATGTTTTCGTATAACCCCCATATAACTGTACCTCCCAATAATAATCCCCTATATTCCTCAAACTAGACTTATGCGATTACTTCTGTCGGCTCCAGATATGAGACATATGCTGGTACATAAATCGCAAACAGAAGGATATAGATAGACTAATAAACTATTGTGAAAATTGATATGTATGCATCGGATTTCTGCATACTTTTAAATGCTCCAACTAAAATCTGATATGACCAAATATAAATATATAATGCATATGCAAAATATGTGAAAGATATGCAAAAAGTACACAATGTATGCAAAATATACAAAAATATGGTTATTGCTCTTAATAGTAATTTCTGATTCTAAAAAAGTTTGGAAATATAATTAGTTCTCATAAATAAACATTGCAATGTAAAATTTCCGAAACTGCTGCTGAATCAAGACCACTTCGCTGGATTCCTCCCAAAAAAAGCCTAAATTCGCATCCCTTTTTTAATTGGCATATTATTAGGAATAAAAAACTCAAAAATTAAAATTTAATTGATGAATTGAATCGATTGATTTTTTCACATTTATGCATGTCCGCAAAATTTACTTGAGATAGAAATTTGCACAGACCGTTTGTTGATCCAAGGACGAATCCTATTGAAGTTAGTTATAATCAGATCAACATACTTCCATCAAATTTACTGAAATCGAATAAGATTGAGATACAGTTTCCATATGTTACATCCATCCGATTTAATATTCAATCCGCTCTAAAGCTATAATATGCACTCACTACCGATTACAAATGATTTCATTAACATTACATACATTTCCAATCTAAACAATATTTTGTAACGTATAGCCGTACAATATTCTTGTAGTGGTGTGTGGTATCATATCGCTCATTTACTCAAACAATTTAAATAGTTTCTACGAATCTTACTTTATCTTTCAATCAAAATTTCATGTTGATATCTTTAAAACTCAAGGAGGTACTTGGAGTTTGACATAAATGCTTCAAACCACTCTTGATCTTACGCTGATATGTGGTGAGTTACCACTGGTGACTCCTTTACAAAGAATTGTGTGTGTTCTATAACTTTTTATCCATTGATCCATTTAGGACGGGAATTTAAATTTCAATCGATATGTTGCATGATATCGTTAGATAACATTGAAGAATATTGACGCTCGTATATATAATTAGTTATATATCAGATATTTGATGATTATTGATAAAATGGACATAAACACTTCCCACAGAGCAGCAAAGGGTATAATAATTGAGTATCATCCAATTAAAAAATTATCTGAACAAAAATAAACAAAAACTACAAATTAGTAACAAAAACAAAGGAAAACAATGAATGTCTTTTCGTTTATTGAGGTTCCAACAACGAGGGCAAGAGAACGAATTGAAGATAAAGCAACGCAAAAGTCTTAGTTAAGCAATGTCAATTAATTACGGTTACGTAGAAGGCGAATTAAGGCCTTTGTCTTCTCGAGCTGTTAAAAGTTTTTCTGTGAGGAATCCATAAAGAAGAAGGAAACACACAAAAAATATTTCACAAAATTTTCATTTTAACGATGAAAATGTTATTTGTGTCCAAAAATGAATATTTGTTTTATATTTGTGCAGAATTCATGTATTCCAAAGATTTGACATTTAAAAGATGCAATATTGTCAAGCAAAAAACCATTCAAAACCAGTTAGATCGATTGGAGAATACAGCTAAAGCTTTTAAAATACCAGAAAGTGGGTAGAACCGTTACATGGGCGCAACAACAAAACGGGAAACTACTATAAAAAATGTTACCTAATGCGAGTGGTAAATACCATACATCAAACAATTCCGTGGAAAAATGTGGCTAATCATAAAAAATGTCGAATATCGATCGGTACCGTTGTATAGAATCCGTTGACCAATATGGACAAAAACCCAGGAGATAAATACCATTTCAAAATCTTAACCACAAAATTGTGACAATTGAGGGAGGAAATGTGGCTAAAATAATCGAAATACCGAATATTGGGGGGTATAGTTATATTTTGAATACCAACAATCCTATATACAATGCAAAATTTGTGCTAAATTTCAAACTTCTTGTAAATAATATGGGCAGTATTTTAATTTTAACCGACTGTTTATGGTCTACGTCGAATAATAACGGTACCGCCCGATTTAAGGTATTTCTAGGGTTTTAATCATATTTGTAATCGAATTTGCTGTAGGTTGTCAGAAAACATATATAAACCCAAATATAAATCGCATGTGACGTTACCTTCCGATATTCGGCATTTCGAAAAAGTTGGAATATGGAGTTCGCTGCCACCTTCTTTGGCAAATAATTTTCTATACATATTTATGTTTTGCCCGACCGAACTTAACTACTTTTTTACTTGTTTTACTACAGTTGGCCTTGAGGTGGCCAAACTGTGTATTAACTCTGAATATTCTGTCTTGAATTCTTTTACACCTATAGTAATAAAGTTTCAATAGTTACACAAACATTCCCCCACATATTGGTATATTACTTAGCAACGGTTTGTTTGACATTGTGTGAACTTATTTGGAACATCGACGTTTTGAAATGAAAAGAAAAAGAGATTACACCTCGAAAGCGAAAATTCAAATTGATCCCCATAAACACGATGATCAAATCAGAGAGTTGGAAGCTAAGCATTACGAAACTGATGAAGTGGTCACTGTAGAAGGACAAGCCGTAGAAACGGAGGGCTCCTCAGAGGAGGAAATGGATATTGTAAGTTCAGACACCCACAGCGATATAGGCCGAATTGATATATCATTTCCTGAAGCATTTTCCGACCACTGCCATTCTCGACTGTGTTATCCCTTGTCTTATTACATTTTGTCGCCGAAAGAGCGATTATTGCTTTTGTACGCGGAGAATTTTCGGCATCAATTTTTTACATCTAATTTAAAAACTCGACCTTTGGTTCTCGCTTTGCCCAATGAGTGTAATATCCAGGTAAGCTGATCACATTTATGAAAATCTGTTTTCTCATCTCATACGCTTACGATTTTCCATGTAGAAATTCGTTTGTACGACTCTTCGTCCCACTTCATTTCTGTATAAATCGCTAAGAAATGCGGCAGGAATTGCAAGCTTTGTGGCTGACTATGTTATATATGAACCTTTCGACGATAACATAAGATTTGTAAGTATGCAGAGAGTACGTGTTTCTGTAGTTTTTTGTTGCATCACACACATTCAAGAATCTGTTGCACAACATTTGTGGTTTGGCTATACAGTGAATCCAAGCGAACGCTGTACAGCTGAATAATTTTATTTAATTGACTTGTAATTGTGTAATTGTGACAACATGAAATCGGACGGCATTCATAAACTTAAGATATCCTTTAATATTCGTAGAATTATGTTTGTTTTACATTTTACTCTGAGAGTTTTCTGCACTATCAACAGTAGTTATGTTCATTCCTCAAAATTGCATTTGGCTTTAAAGTAAACGTTGTAAACAAAGTGAGAAAGTCATTTAAACCAAAAAAACATTAAATTTGTTTTTGTGAAGTTCATGAAGGCAATTTTAAGACCCGATTTTGGTATGCGAACTTTAGGACCTGTGTCGATTATATGGATAATTCTTTTTAACATAATATGCTATACTATGAAAAACTGTCGGAATTTAGCTTAGATATCTTTTACTACAATTGGAGATATGGTATAAGAGAAAATAATTTTAGAAAGACTTCAACATAGACAAATGAAAATATAGGCAACGAAATGCTCTCACCGCTTATCTTCGAAAAAAATCGAATCAGCAGATGTCGTCTATATCGTTTCTGGGTTTAATTCTAAAACGTTAAAAATAACAAAAACTGTAGGATGTTTGTCAGTTGGAAATTGTTCCATAATAAAAGAAATGTGAAAATTATGTGATGACATCAAAAAATTCCGGAATAACCAAGTGAAATTCTTGAAAAACGATAAAATGTATTTTCGGAGTCGAGTGGGTTGAACGCGTAAATCAGCATGTTGACTATGCAAAACATGAAGAGAGCCACCTGGATAAAAAGACAAAACTAACTTTTCGTTGTCTATATCTTCATTTGTCTATGACTTCAATAACAAATTTACTATACTTTCATAATACTATGGTATTGAAAACTTTGCGAGGTCCAACGCTGGACAACCAGTATTCGACTCGTTTCACTGTTGGTCAAGCGGCTCACCAGGCATATTAGATACTATTTTTGTGGGTAGACGAAGACCAATTTGGGAAAATTCCATTTATGCGTACATCATTACATAAACACAAACGCGAAGTAATGTGAATAATTTGTATACCCTCCACCATAGCATATTAACTTTGTCATTCCGTTTGTAACTCCTCGAAATAGTCATGTCAGACCCAACAAAGTATATATATTCTTGATCAACGAAAAATTCTAAGTCGATTTAGCGACGTCCGTAGGTCTGTCTGTCTGTTGTAATCACGCTATCTTTCGAAGGAATTGAGATAGACAGCTAAGATTTTGCACGCATGTTTATTTTGCCAGTAGGCAGGTTAAGTTCGTAAATGGTCCATGTAGGTTCAGGTTTGGTATAGTCCCCATATAACGGTACCTCCCTATATTCGGTATTTTGATGATTTTAGCGACATTATTCTCCGGAATTGTTTTAAATTTGGTATTTGAAGTTCGTAATGGATTCTGCAGCCTATGACAGAAAATTGTCTGATGTTTTCGTATAGGCCCCATATAGCAGTACCTCCCAATATTATTTTTATACCCTCCACCATACTATGGAGGGTATATTAATTTTGTCATTCCGTTTGTAACTCCTCGAAATACTCATTCCAGACCCAACAAAATACATATATTCTTGATCAGCGTAAAATTCTAAGACGATTTAGCCATGTCCGTCTGTCTGTCTGTTGTAATCACGTTATTTTTCGAACAAATAGAGATAGAAGTCTAAATTTTTGCAGACATGTTTATTTTGCCAGTGGGGAGGTTAAGTTCGTAAATCGGCCATGTAGGTCCAAGTTATCATATAGCCCCCATATAACGGTACGATATTTGGTATTTTGATGATTTTAGCGACATTATTTACCGGGATTGTTTCAAATTTTGCGTGTGAAGTTCGTAATGGATACTTCAGCCCATGCCAGAAAATTGTCTGTGCAGGTCCACGTCGTTGTATAGGCATTCGGTATTTTTATTATTTTAGCAGAATTTTTAACGGATTTTATTTTTTTTTTGGAAATTGCCAAATTTGTACCAAATGGTGGAGGGTATTAAAAGTTCGGCAAGGCCGAACTTACAACTTTTTTACTTGTTAAGATTTTAAAAGAGTTTTTAACGGATTTTATTTTTTGAAAATTTCCAAATTCGTTTCAAATGGTGGAGGGTATTCAATGTTCGGCCCGGCCGAACTTACTGCTTTTCTACTTGTTTCGTGCTCAGCGTATAATGTAAGTTTTTTTTCCAAACTTCAATTGCGTTTGTATTTTAGTTCGGAACTTTTACCAGTGTGTTGTAGATTAGAACGCTAGGACGCCAGGAATACTCTCCGCTGGATGGCGAGGACGTAGGTTATAATCCCAGCCGGGCAGTTGCTAAAACATTTATATATTTTTGCCTTATTTTTTTTTTTATTTATTTGGACGGTTCCAAAAACTTTACATGGACGGTTCCAAAAACTTCTATACGTGACTACTCTAAATTAATTATAAAATCCTTAATCCGAAACGACTTACTTAAAATTAAACACTAAAACAAATTAACAATTGATTGACGGCTCCAAGAACTCCTATACATGACTACTCTAAACTATTCATAACATCCTTAATCTTAAAAATCTTATTAAAAAATTAACATTAAAACAAAATTAACAAAAAAAAAAGAGCAAAAATCACAATTCACTGAAGAATTAGATAAATCAATTATGTAAGGGAAACAAAAACAAATTAACACAAGAAAACCATATATTTAACACTGTTAAGCCTGTAGAGAAAGGATAAAAGTTGGCTGGGGACGACTATTCACCTCTATTTATAATTAGTAGAGCTTCATGTAACTAATAAACGGTTTAATCGCGAATTTATGTGAAGTTGATCATAGGCATATTCTAATTTTTTTCGACTTCCAGAACAATGTTGGCATTTTTGTTCAGGATATCGCCCCGTACCGATACCGTTGTTTTTATAAAAACGACGGGTGCAGCATGTATATCGGATATATAGCAATATCTAAACCGATTTTCACCAAAGTTGATGAGGCTAAATCCGGTCAACTGTGCAAAATCCATCTTATTGTGGCATATATTACACATTTGTACACAATGAACATAAAATCGAAGCTGAATATATATTGGAGCTACATTATGATTTTTGTAAGGAAGTGAATATAAGGGGTTTGGGCGGCTTAAATATCAAAGCGGTTGCAACATATATATGAGACCTATAGCTATATCTGAACTAATTTTCACCATTTTCGAAGTACGTGCTTATACGCTAAATTCAGCTAAATGTGCCAATATCTAATGTTGATATCACAATAAACGGCGGATGCAGATATATGTGAGTTCTGTGTACAAAATCAGGAACAATCTCGAAAAAAAATGGCTAAGGCATCTCCGAGTTGTATCTGGCCAAGTTCCATCCTATTTGGGCTAATTTTCAATTATATGTTGGAGTTATATCTTAATTTGGACCGATTATCACTAATTTCAATACGTTTCTTCCTTGGGACAAACAAATGATTTGTTCAAAAGTTTATCTAGGTCGGAAAAATGCGACCTATACTTTGTGTACGAAAATACATGGAATGGGATTCTATGCAGATCAACAAAAGTTACTTTAAGTGTATCTCGTTTCCAAAAAAAAAAAAAAAAAATAATAACAATTAAAAAGGAAGTTAAGTTCGGCCGGGCCGAACATTTAATACACCATTCGAAAAAAAACTTGAAAATTTTCAAAAAAAAAAAGAAATCCGAAAACTACCAATTAATTGAAAACCGTTATATGGGGACCATATGAAGACGTGGACCTGCTTACGAAATTTTTTGTAATATGCTGTAGTATCCATTACGAACTTCAAATACGAAATTTGAAACAGTTCCAGTGAATAATGTCGCTAAAATCATTAAAATATCGAATATCGGGAGGTACCGTCATATGGGGGTTATACGAAGACGTGGACTTGCATACGATTTTTTTGCCATAGGTTGTAGTGCCCTTTACGAACTTTAAATATGAAATTTGAAATAACTCCGGTAAATAATGTCGCTACAATTAGGAAAATACCGAATATCGGGAGGTACCGTTATATGAGGGCTATACGAAAACGTGGACCGACATGACCCATTTACGAACTTAACCTGCCTAATGGTAAGCTATGCATGTATTCAACATATTTGCCTTCTATCTCAATTCATTCGAAAGATAGCGTGATTACAACAGACAGACGGACATTGCTAGATCGTCTTAGAATTTTACGCCGATCCAAAATATGTATACTTTGTAGGGTCTATTCTGAATATTTCGAGGAATTAGAAACGGAATGACAAAGCTATCATACCCTCCATAGAAAGGTGGAGGGTATAATAAAAATGGTTATACAAATACGCAAACTTGCGTACAAGTTATTTGCGTAGTAAAGCCGGGTTGGAATTTATAAATTTTATTGGAATAATAAACGGAATAGTTCCAATTACAAAGGAAATTCTGGAATTACAATTGCAATGATTGTGAATGGTAGAAACTCTCGAAATGTAGTTCCAATTATGTCTAACATTTCTTAAAAATGTGTGAAATGCTCTATTATTGTGAAATATCTATAGTTTAATTCAAAACAGTGGAGCCTTAAAATCAGAACACAAGCTGTACTTTAAAAACTAGGTCTATCTAAACTTCGGCGTTGAGTTCTTAAGACCCCAAGGATCTCAATAAATGACGTCCTAGATTATGTGAGATTCCCCGAAACGATCCTGAATCTTAGAAAGCTTTAAACATTTCAATTCTTAATCATTTTCTTCTTCTTAGATCAAAATACCCATTCATTCAAGGAAAAAATAAAATTAAAAACGTACCTAAAATAACAACTTTCTAGAATATAAAAACTTAAAAAAATAAACTATACTATACTACACTATTTTTTTTGTTCGTCCCCACTCCTCTCACTGCCACCCCTGCCG